GTCCAAGGTCGTCAATGCCGTCAGGACTACGCTCATGATGCAAAATATACTGCCCGAGAAGCAAGCGCGCCATGTTTCGGGAGGAGAGTGGCAGGCTGAGGCTTGTGAGTGGAGGGCGGAGGGCGAACGGCCTCCTTCGCGACTCGTTGGCGGGAAGACGCCATCGTATCCCCTCCCTTTTCTTCTCCTCTTGCGGCATGTCCTCATTGCGCAGTCCCAATCTATCTGTCACCGTCCCCTCCTCCCTCCCCTGCCTCCTTTCCTCCGCCCCGCCTGCCAGTTCCCGCATCGCCCGCAGCTGTCGCAGGGCCTCGTTCCCGATGTACATCAACCGACCCAACAGGCTCGTGATCCCCAGGCACCGCCTCCCCACCACTTCCCGTCCACCATTACCCAACGCTTGGCCATCCCTCTGCAGCGCCTTTCGAAGCAACCATTCCGTCGGGCGGGCGTCGGGTTCTAGCATGAGCTCAATCACCCGCAGGCACACTTCATCGGCAAGGGCAATCTGACCTGGTGCGAGGCCCCTCAGGGTGCCATTCCCATCCTTGCCGTCGCCTTTCATACTCTTTCCATCTGCCTCCTCCGTTACCAGCACGTTTCCTAGACCTGGAGGGACAATGCATTTTGACGGGATGATATTTGGCATAAGGAAAAAGCGCGCACGGCAAAACGCGATGTGTAAGAAATAGACTTACTGGCATCAAAGTAGGCAAAGGTGGCACTGCCATTGTTGTAGGGTTTCTTCGGGTGGTCGTTGTGTATGTCACTCGTTTGGGTGCTGCTGATACTGCTACTGCTGCCGCTGACATCCTTAGAGCGGCGCAAAGAGTTACTCAACCGGGCACACGATTTGAGTGAAACCGAGGGATAAACAGTGCAGATCCATGGCACAGGAAGCATGGGCGATGTTGATAGACAGAATTGCGCGGCTGGCTGCGATCGAAGTGGAAATGCGTATGCTAAAGGAAGAAGAACGCAAAAGAGGGCGAGGCGGCGACGATTGTTACCATTGCATCGAACGGATGCCAATGGTTGCGTTTCTTGACGCCCTGACATACGGACCCTGTCATACCATGCAAATATGCACATTTTGAGGAATGAAACTTTATGCGGGGAAAATATTGAGGTGTTTCCAAAGTTGGCAGGCGGCTCGAACGCGTGCTGTGATCGTGATCGATGATGATGGATTTAAAAATTCAAAATTCTAAAAATCCCAGTGTCCCAAGAGGTTCCGAGAGGTTGCCCGTCGAAAAGCATCATACACTGGCTTGCTTCTTTGCTACAGTCGAATACATGCTTTTCCGAGTCGAAACTAAAACGAGCAGTGGAGGAATAGAGTGGTTATGAAAGGCTAAGGCGGTGAGTGCGCGTCGAAAAGCATCGTACACTGGCTTGCTTCTTTGCTACAGTCGAATGCATGCTTATCATAAAAACTAAAACGAGCAGTGGAGGAATAGAGTGGTTATGAAAGGCTCAGGCGGTGAGTGCGGACAATCGCTTTTTTTTTCTCTACTTGCAAAAAACGGCCTCTAGACGAGCACAAATTTCCCACGATAGGAAATATGGAGGGACTCTACTACCGCCCAAAACTGGTCAACCACGACTTTACTCTCCATGTGTGATAGTTTCACACGAGAATTCCACATCGATCTTCCGGGCAAATATTTCTTCTTCTTATCGTTTGTCCTCAATCCCTTCCTGCTATTTATTCACCATGCTTTGACATATGAATCTGCCCTGTTTCTACACTCTATGTCTCTTCTTGAACCTGGATATAATTCTGCCCCAGCGCTTGATAAATTCCCCTATCTGCACACTTTCCAGCACAAGCACTCGACGACCCGTGGGTCCCATACGAATTCTACGCGCCTTCTATTCCTCAATCATGTGAAAAAGTCAGCCAGCTCCATGAACAAATCCTGGTTTATTTTCAACAGCACGTACGCGCATATCTCCTCCACTATTTCACACTCATACTTTGTCTCCTCCCTCCCCCTCTCCTCCCCAAGATCGTCGCATCCCTCCATCTCTTTTTCTTCTTCCCGTCCTTCTTCGCGCCTGAAAAACACCTTCCTGT